AGCCGCATTCAATGTTTAATAAGGTTAATTATATGAACAGGGAAATATTATTATAATATCCTTTTATAAAATACACGAAATATTATTAAAACTTTTTAAGTGGTTATTATTATACATTGTGTCACCAAATAATTTTTCATCCTATAAGGGGATGATAGCTCCCTAACTAAATATAGGGAGCAATTTCGGTATATGGTCGTTTGGAATGATATGTTATAGAGTTTTAAAGCTTGTTAACAGGGTAAATAATATTTGTTCCCTTTTTAATTATGAATTAAACAATTATAGATAAGAGTTGATGTATATGGATTAAAATAAGTATAACCATGGTACTGTTTAATTAAATGATTGCGATCTTGATGCATCGCGGAAAGTTTAAATAATAAAGGGCGTTCACGTAAAGAATGAAATTTTTCAGATTCCAACTCGGATGTCATTTTTCTAAATTTGGGTTCGTGGAGCATACAATACAATGTCGAATGGATGTTTTCCTTTATCCGTCTCCCACCAGTTCGTGCTTTAAATAATGAGGAACATTTTACTTCCGGACATGTGGGATTTAGCCCATTTATCTCGGCGTTATTGAACTACGCTTACTTCGCCGACTAAAGAGTGTTTGTACTTTAAAGTTTAAAAAAATCCCATCACATTTACAAAGGTGCAGTATTCTAGACTCTCATCAATTTTAATAAATTTACGAGTTTTGTTTTGTCTCAGCTAATCGCTCCACAAAATTGCTTACCATTAATTGTTGAAACTTTCTGACTATTTATAAATTGCCAATTTAGGTCTTTACAGCAGCGTTAATTGGAAAATGTTCTTATTAAAAAAGTTCCCTAGACTTAAAGTTAGTTTAAACTTTAACTGTATAAGGTAATTATCAGGTTAATAAAAATGCCTTTACCCTTTATTACTCCAAATAATTTTAATAAAACAGTTTTTCTCCACCTACTAAAAAAATACCAAGATATTAAAGATGTTTACAACGGAATGCTTTTTAACTCTTTTGTTGTGGTATAGCCAGAAAAATATCTGTTGTAAACAGAAAAGGCATAAAATGCATTTTCATTATTTCTCTCACTACATTTCATATCAGCATGAATAAAAGTCGATCTTTATGGTTCAGTAGCATGGAAATAAAAAACATTTTACTGTAAAATAATATAATATCACAATGAAAAATTATTCATAATGATGAAAAGAAAAATACCTTTTTTAATAACTATAATTGTGAAAACACGGGTTTTCGCAACGCCCACGCCTCTGGTGGCGCTCGATAGCATTATTAAACTTCAAGGTTAGTTAACAATACATTTAAAGCATACGAACTGCACATAATTTTTGAATAAATAAGTCGTTTTTTCACAAAAGCGAGGAAGAAAGAAATCTTTCTCGACAAATTTTGTTCGCAAAGTTTCAATTGCACAGCTAAATCGCGCACGTTATTTGTGTTTCGGTTGCAAATAAAAACTAAAAAACTTTGGTATAGTACTCGATTTAAATTTATTATTTCTTATATTTTTGATAAAGAATCTTAACGCTTATATGCTTATTTTTGGGAATTTTAATCTCAAATTTGAATACAAAAACCTTTTATTCTCAATATTATAATAATTCGCTCACAATTTTATTTTTAGCCAGCTTTTCGGGCGCTTAGGACCACTGTGCGAAATTATTTAAATAATTTTTATAAAAAACAATTTTTTGCTAATATTCTTCAAATTAATTCATCTTAAAGAAAAATCATTTTAAAACAGTTACTTTCAACTTAAATTTTATCTGATTATTGGGAACTAGCCGTGAGGTATCAATTTTAATGTGGTAAAAATAATAAAAATAGTGATATTAATTATTATTATTATTAAACATTTTTATTATTATCGTTACATTCCAAAAAATCAATGAAAACTCATTTACACTTTTAACGTGGTTTTAAATTCTAAATGTAATAATAATTTGTATCTACTCCTATTGCATAATATTTTTTTTCGTAATTAAAACATTATAAATTCCCTGCCTAACAACAGAAATAATGAACTCATTATTCACGTTGTTAGGCATTAGTGATTGGCCGATTTCAATATTCACTGTAAAGCAATTGTGTTTAGGCAAAAACATTACTTATTTGAGCAGAATAAATCATAAAATGATCATTATCTTGCTTAATCGGATCCTGTTTTTTAATTTGCGACAATTAATTTTATCAATTATTTTCCATTTTCTTTTTCTATTTCTTTTAAGACAATAAAACAAAAAATACTAGGTGTAAAGGTTGTTTACGATGTTTATAAATGCATAATTAAGGTAAATGTTAAATTGCCAGGTAACAGGGATAAAGAGCTAATGGAATGGCCGTATAAACTGAATGGAGGACGAAAAGTATAAAGCAACTTTATTTTAAAACGCTGTTTAAAATAATTGGCATTACACTTGACTCTCTTAAATTACATTGAAATGTTCTACCGGACTCTGTAGTTCCCTAGGGAATTTCTATTTCTAACTGGACTATTACAACAAAGCTTTGAAATGACCGCAAATTTGCGTTGATTATAAGCCACATTTGCCGAAGTATTCTGTGTAAATTTGTTAAAGGGAATTTCACCACCGGTCCATATAATGAGCCAGCCGAGGAAACCTAGACTGCGAGAAAAAATAAAATAAAAGTTTTTATATTCGTTAAAACTGCTCATTTTCTTTTTGCTTGCTTTTTTCTTGCGGTTTGCGAATAACTAATGAATTTATTTCTTTGTGTTTGGCCTGCCTCGAGGATTTTTACTGCCGCCTTAAAATTAAGCGTCTTATTTCATTATCCAACAGTTCACCTGATTCGTTAATCGAGAAGAAACAAATCAACTGTAAAAAGAAACGCTAAAAACTTACTTTTTTGATAAAATGCATCTCGTAGGATCCCAATGTATATAACACAGGAAACATCAAATCTGCATTAGCCGACACACCAAATTCGCACTTGAATGCGTTTGAAAAGAACCGATGCCCGTCTGTATAAACATTGGAGCGCTGCCATTCATTACATCCATGTTGAAAGCCCGATGCAATATTTTCCGAATTATTTCAACCAGCAAATATGTGGCTTTATTAAAAATATAATGGAAACGTACTCACCTTAATCATGTGGCTAGTTTTAATGGGGATTGAAATAAAAAAATGTTTTAGTAAACAGTATATTTATTAAAATTCTACGTGTACTAGAATACTAAAATATCTATTTTATAATGAAAAAACTATGTACAAGTGTTCATAATGGAGATGTGTAATATCCAATACCCTTATGAACGTATTGCAATATATTCTACGATTTTATTATTCATATTGCTCGTGCAAAATATAAATATTATAGTTTATAGTTTTATAAATGTAAAAAAAAATATTTTTAAGTTTTGGTGTTTTGAAGCTTAAAGCTATTCTTAGTGTTACCTGTACAAGATAGCGCAAAAGTATTGTTAGTACTTTAACAAATATACGTTTTAAAAAATTCCAAGTTAGAAATTAACACTTTTAAAATTTTGTAAATTAAAAAAACTGGAAATTTTTTAAAATTAAAAAAAATTGACTCACAAATGGGAAACCTGGAGTAAATAATAAATTCCATATAAAATCGTTACGCAATCCCATATTTGTTAAAGCCAGGGATTGGTATTTATAATATAGATGGAAAAAATAATAAATAATAAATCTTCTGGAAAGCTTCTTGGATAGAAAGACCGCCGGTAAACCCAAGTGACATTTACAGATAAAATTTTACAATAGGTTGTATCTATGGTTTTCCAGCGAGTGAACATAGTTTAGACGTTCGATATTGCATGTGACACATTATTCAAGTTTGGTACATGAAACCGTATTACATATGTCAACTGGATTGGCACAGTGTGGTTTTATATAAGAATATATGGGTGAATAACTGTGGCAGAAGCATGTTTCCACTTTAACGCAAATCCGTTTTTAAAACAAAATCGTGAATGAAATTTTATTCTTAATACGAGAGGTACTTATAAAGAGATGTCTCCGCGTTTCATGAATCATGAAACATATTTCATGTAAAATGCAGTTCCAACGTACTGTGAAATGGCAACTGTGCTTTGCAACCACTATAAATAGACGTAGGCTTTTGTGAAATAGAATGTGTACGATTTTAAACGCAAAAATTTGCGATTTATGGTTTTAAATATTGTTAATTCATTTTATTTGTTAAAAAAAAGATGTGAAAATTGTGGAAAGAGTCCATTATTTGCAAATATAGGGGCGGTCGTTATTACTCACGTATTTTTACCGTAAATTGGAATTAGGCGTGATTTTACTAAAGAATTCTCTAGTAAAATCACACTTAAGTCGGCTCGATAAGATATATTTGCTACTATTATAGACCTATTCAACAAGACCTTAAGATGGTGTATGTATTGTAAATTAGTATTTCGATAACTCTCTTATTATATCGGATTTTTTTATCAAATTTCAACCCAGTGATATTTTACAATAAAAATTTTTGAATTTAATCTGTTGAATAACAAAGCCAGCTAAAAACAATCTTCTTAAGCCACTTTTTTTTAATAACTTTTTTAAAAAATTTGCCTATTTTTCTTCGTTTAACAAATTTCTTTTTTGTGTTTTAGAAGCAGCTAAATTTTCCAGCGAACGATAAAAATGATTCACCTGAAGACGACTGGAGATACCTCCAAAACCTTTCCTTCATTTAAAAAAATCATTGTCTACAACCTTTAGACACCCTGTATTCATGTTGCAGTTAAAGTTAAACGAACGTTTAATAATATAAGTATTTGTGGAGTTTTATTTATTATAGAACTAAAGTTAAAAAGGACATTAATATGAATTTAAATATAACGTATAGATAAACATTATAAATAAGGCAAAAACAATCTTTAATATACGTTATTAATTGACGTTTATAAAATGTAACATTTCGAAACGTGTAATGATCGTTTTCTAAACGCCAAAATTAAACGTTTATTTATTAATATTGTTAAACATTTTAAAGTTGATGGTACGTTGAAAATTTATGTAAAAACAAAATGGTCTAAAAAAACGTTTAATTTACGGTATTTAAATTTGGCATCTCCATTGCTATCAGCACACCCTGTATAATATTTTCTGAAACATTTAAATACAAAAAAATCTAACAAAGTTTATTATAAATATGAAATGGCAAATGTTCATATTCAATTTTAACAATAGCTTCATTCTACGTACAAAATTATTGCTTGGCGTAAATTCCTTAAATTTATCCACTTTAAAGCTAATTTATCCTGAAATGGAATTTAATGATGATGATTGCTGAATATGTTTAGTTTAACCGATTTACAGAATAGAATGGTAATTAAATTCATAAGGTGTGCTGATTTTTTTGATTACTTTGTTAAATCTGTTTTATACAAATACAAAATTTGGTAAGCATAAAAATCAATACCCGCGCGGTTAATTAAGACTCAAACTGTTTAAAGAAGCATGCAATTACCCTGTTAGTTCATAATCAAAAAAGTGCGTGTGCGACAAAACATTCCGCCACGCGCTAAATTACACCACCACCGGCGGTTCGCCCTCGTAACCTTCGTCCGGACTTTCTGTCAGCACATCGTTAACGACGTCGTTCCGGGTGTTCAAACAGCCGCCGCCGGACTCGACGGACTCTGTTTGCGCGCTCGCGCATCTCTTTTCCCCGCTCGCTGGATCCTTAGCGGCATGCAAATTGGCGGCAACGAACCGCGGGGGCAACTCCGAAGAGCAGCAGGGCAGCGACGAGGGGGCAAGATCTCCACCCATGATGTCCAATTTCGGCGGGGGGTAACCCGTCGCCGTGTATCGGACGTTCGCCTGGTAGTCGTAATCCAGGCTTCTTGATAGGTATTCGGCTTCCCGAGAGAACCTAGTAAATATAAAACGTTTTTTAGTATTTTTCATTTTTTTGTCCGCCGTCACCTCTTAAAATTTACAGAAAAGTAAGTCAAAATGGGCTTGTTGTATCAGGACTCCACGGACAGTGGATAAATCAAATGTCGCTATCGCACAATCACTGTTGCTACTCACTCTAAATGTATTATCAAATAATTAAATATGACTTGTAAAATTCACTTAACTTAACTAACTACGGGACAAAAATGTGAATCTGCGAGTACAATTTAATAAATCCCATATTCACGAAAATCTTCATTAAGTAAATCCCCTTTAAGAAATATTTATTAAAATATTTAGATTAAATCAAGTACAACCCTAACATTTTAATTAGATAAAATCAAGTAAACCCTGACATTTTAATTAGACAAAATCAAGTACAACCCTGACATTTTAATTAGATGAAATCAAGTACTTAATGTTTATTATTTAGAATTTATTAAACAAAACACAATGTGCTTGTGTTTTGTTTTGGTGTTGGGGAATATTTCTAATATTTATTTAACATATCACCAAAGTTGTTCTTTTTAAAGTGTCGTTAATGGTGTAAAATAAATTATTCAATATGGGATTTTAACAGATTTGGAAGTCTTCTTTCTGGCTGCTGGCTTCAGGCATCTGAAAGATGGTTAAATATTTTCACACCCTGTATAAAATGGTTGATTTTTATGAAAGGAGGATTATTTATTGACTTTATTTATAATATTAAGATTTAAATAATTATAATTATAAAAGAAACTTGATAATAGTTCCTTAAATACAAATTCCAAATTTCCAAATAGAAAGAAATTGTTGTAATTAGGTAATTAGGTACATTTAGCTTTTCTCGATAGAAATTGAACATTAGAATTCTGAATGTTTTTATAACAAGGGCGTGCTTGAAATGCAAAACAAGCTTATTGTATGTAACCTTATATTGAGAAAATGTAAATAACAAATCAATATAAAAAATTTAAAGAGCAGTGTATTTAAAGCTCAGTATGCAAATCCATGGTAAAAAATTATATTATTTACTGAAGAAACTAAATAGTATCATATGTTTAGAAGAACATTATTGATATATGGTTTTTACTCCACGTTCGAAAGCCTCTATCAAATATCGAAATACCTACATCTAAATTAATTTATTAAGTTTGAAATTGGATTCCAAGAATAATATTTTTATTGGTTTTATGCTCTTAGAAAAAGCATCTACAAGTTGTTTTTAATAATGATTTCAGGAATTATTGTTATAAGGAGTTATTCTGATATTCGCAGAATCATTTCCTAACCCTTGAGAAATGTTTTTTTCAAAAAAGTTGACTTCTTGAAATATAGTTCTTATTTATAATATGTTTATATTTGATTTTACAACTTTTCTTTGTATAAAGAACCCACCAAAATTGTACATCACTGTTTCATTCCATACACTGAAAAAATCGAACCTTGATCAATTAAGAGCCATTTCGCCTATGTAAGGAATTAGATATTTTTGTATAAATGCACTAAAAACTTCTTTATAAAGTCATTATTCATCATCACGAACCCCAGAGCTATCAAACTGGAAAACATCACCTCAAGGCTTAACCGTATTACCAAATGCTTTATACAATAACTTAATAAAACGTTGTACGCACGTAGAAGCGTACTTTGAAAATTTCCTGTACAAATTAATTAATGATAATTAAATTGTCACAAAGTGTTAAAACTCTTTTATTCTAAAAAGAGCAGCTTTAAGATAAAATTTTATAGACTACGTGTTTTAATTCGCTTTAGCTCTGCTAGTTTTCTACCCTATTTGCCGCTTTAATTCAACCCTAGTATGCTCCTACAATGTTATAAATTCAAAGTAAAAGGCTGCCTAATTACAAACTACAATTACTTAAAGTAAAACAATAATTCACAAACGTTATTAAGAATGTTCGCATCTAATGTATTTGTAAACTTCTAATTACAAGTCCCAAACTTTCTTTCTCCGCTATGGTGAACTATGTAAACAGTATGCCATAGTCTCCCCAAATTCGATTTAACTTTGAAAACAAAATCTTTGTATTGGTTATTTGTAAGTTGGCAGGTTCTTCTCTACAAGATTCATGCTACATTTCACATCAAAGTTTATTTAAACTCTTAGTTTAGTTGAAGTTGGTATCTATTTTAAAGTATTTGTTATTTTTAATAAATAACTTAAAATTCTCTTTGCAGTTTATCAATTAAACTGGGTATTTTATTATTCATTCATTCATTCGTTCGTTCGTTAGTTCATTCGTTCTTTCCTATATTTAATAATTCTTTCATAAATTCATTTATTCATTCATTCATTCATTCATTCATTCATTCATTCATTCATTCATTCATTCATTCATTCATTCATTCATTCATTCATTCATTCATTCATTCATTCATTCATTCATTCATTCATTCATTCATTCATTCATTCATTCATTCATTCATTTATTCATTTATTCATTCATTCATTCATTCATTCATTCATTCATTCATTCATTCATTCATTCATTCATTCATTCATTCATTCATTCATTCATTCATTCATTCATTCATTCATTCATTCATTCATTCATTCATTCATTCATTCATTCATTCATTCATTCATTCATTCATTCATTCATTCATTCATTCATTCATTCATTCATTCATTCATTCATTCATTCATTCATTCATTCATTCATTCATTCATTCATTCATTCATTCATTCATTCATTCATTCATTCATTCATTCATTCATTCATTCATTCATTCATTCATTCATTCGTTCGTTCGTTCGTTCGTTCGTTCATTCGTTCTTCGTTCCTTCATTTATTCATTCTTTCGTTCGTTCGTTCGTTCATTCGTTCGTTCGTTCGTTCATTTATTCATTCATTTATTCATTAATTCATTCATTCATTCATTCATTCATTCATTCATTCATTCATTCATTCATTCATTCATTCATTCATTCATTCATTCATTCATTCATTCATTCATTCATTCATTCATTCATTCATTCATTCATTCATTCATTCATTCATTCATTCATTCATTCATTCATTCATTTATTCATTCATTCATTCATTCATTCATTCATTTATTTGTTTTTGTGCCCAACAGGCAAAAGGCTCAACTACAGGATTTCATATACATGGAAAAAAAATGTTGTGGAAAGTACTACAATTGTAGAATTTTCTGGTATAAATTGTTTAAAAAATACGACCAAGAACAATTTGTTAGAAATATTTTAACATTTTTGTAATAAAAATAAACAACAATTTATTGAAGATATAATTATACAGCCCGTTCAGAGTAAAACCGAATATATCTATATATATATTGGGCGTGGCCTTGCCTTCCTCCAACGCGCGACACAGTAGCTAAGCAAATAGCCTGCATCGCTAATGAGATTTTTTGCATTATTATCATTTAATTTTTTAAGTCCTTACCAGCTCGACCTTTCGTCATGTCGTTTATCACACAAGCTACTGTGACGCGCCTTGGAGGGAGGCGAGGCCCCGCCCCATATATATATATAGATATATTCGGTTTTACTCTGAATGGGCTGTATATTGTAGTTAAATTACTCAATTTCTGTTTTAAATTAATATTGTTATATATTTTAATAAAATATTGTATTGACTAATGTCATTCTTTATTAAAAATAATACAGATTTGCCGTGCTCCAAAATTGTGTAAGTACTTTAAATAAATTATACGTTGATATAAATGCTTTAAGTTTTAGTTAATTTTAAAACAATTGTATTAAATAATTAAACATTTTTTTTTACAATATGGTTGTTGTAAAATTTCATTTAATTTTTTTCCGTGTAAAAATTTACCTATTTTTAATACTACTTTAATTTTCGTAATTTCTTATCCTTTAAAACATTGTTTATTAATTTTCTTATTTTATATTTTATATTGCAATACTTATTTTATGTTTCTTTATTTTATGTCTGACAAAATAACTAAATTGCAAAATATTTATACGCATTAAAGTGTTTGCTAAGTCGAGTTAACCTCGAGTGGTAGTAACCAGCTGAATAGGGTAAGTGATTATGATAATGATGTTTAAAGATGAAATATTATGATCCATGATCAGAAAAAAGTATGGGAAATTTTCTTTGAAAGAGCTAATGATTGTAAAATTATTGTCATTACCTGTTAATGGGATTTGCGGCTGAATGGCGCTTCAAACGCTTACACGGGAGGGTGCGGTAATAATTCTCATTAGACGTTTTACGATAAGCCAATTTCGGAAGGCCGTAATCTATGGGATAACCCTGCGAGTCGAGGACGCATCTGATGTTGCGCAACCCTGTTGTCTCCAGAAGTTTGCACATCCCTTGCTGATCGGCTCCGTCTCCGTCCCTGCGATACCCCAAGTTGCTTTCGGTGCCGTTAATGAGGTCGGGATTCTGTTCCAGTTGATAGCGCCTAAGAGACGAGGGACTTCTGATTTGATTAGCGACGGGGGACAACGAAGACTCGCAGGGTTGCACGCCGTACTTTATCATGTCATCTGAATCAGTGGTCGTATTCACTTCCCTTGCGCTGCCTTCCAACTCTTCATCCTGAAGCTCAGGCTTGCTCGTCGGTTTTTTCCGTTTTTCCTCTCTACAGCGATTACGATGACATTTGAAAATCAATACGACCAACACGACTACAATCATCAATCCTAGCACGGCGGCCGCACCGACGACCACAAGAAAATACTCGATCGGAAGGGAAACAATAATCACGATCGGGTCCTCCTTTAGCAGGATTTTCACGGTAAAGTTGGTGTGAGTGGAGCCGGCCGCGTTTTCCGCGTTGCAAACGTAGGTGCCGTTATCGTCGGCGTCAGCGTTGTATATGAACAGTTCGCTGCGCTTTTTCTCGGGACCCTCTTCCACGTAGTAAATCAAGTGTAAGCCCGGTGCAACTGGCGTATTGTTCTGCAGAATCCGGCCTTGAAACCACCACGACACGGTCGCTTCCGGGTTCGCGTGGACGTGACACAATAGCGAGACGTTTTTTCCCTCGCTCAGTTCCAGATAGAAGGAGGTCGGCGATACGTCGGGCAGACAGGCCAAGTCCGCGGTCGGTATTGATTTGATAACGCGACCGGATAGACGAGACGGACCCTTGCACATCGGTTCACTCGACATGGGAACGTTAAAATTCACAAGCCAACCGTGAAGATCTTGGATGTGGCAGTCGCATTCCCAGGCGTTGTGCTGTAACTCCACACCTGAAACAAATTCCACTTTGCTACGTGTTTTGCTTAATCACTTTTGACTATTTATTATTTTCATCATAACATTTCACGTAATCCCCCCCAACATTTTGCCATTTCATATGCAAATTTATTTTGCAAATATATTTAATTTACTATAGATTTTGGCATGTAAACAATTTATATAGGCCTGGTTTAACTTTTAACTTTTATTAATATTAAACCATTTTTTATACTCCCACCCATTATAGTACATGTTTCCATGACCCTAAGTGACCTTTTAAATGCACATTAACGTTAAATTTGTCGCTTTATTGCGCTTTAGTCACGGGCTAAAGTTAGCAACAATCGTTTCTTGTAAAGGCACTTTAACAAAGGGTAAAATTATTTTATCATCTTAATACAAAAATGTAAAAGTATAAAATTTTGTAAGAAAGAATTGAACCTACACCTCGCCAAAGATTTTGTTTTGAGTGCGTTCCACCAACTTCAAATACCTATATTGCATCAGTGTCGGGCAACTAAGTGAAGTGAAACACACACAAAACAAAGGACTACTTCAGCTTATATACTGCGTTGGTAAGCCAACAGAGGTGAGATGTAAGAACATCACGTGTTTCACACTGTATAACGACGTGGCCTTTGCCGCAATCAGTACATACTATGCAACCAAGACTGCACACGGTAAATTGTATCACAAATACCAATATCGCCTAAAGTTATTAATGATTTTAAGCTACTACTATGACAACATTTTTTTTCAAAGAATTATATTTTTTATTTTGAATGGGATAAATTATATTTTTTCACAATCACTTTCTTGTGCATTAAACATCATTTAAGTGTTTATGAAAAACAATTCATTTAGCTAACAGGCTTAATTATTTTAATAAGCTCTCATTAAAGCTTGCACTAAAATGACTTCAATTAGAATTAAACTCGTGCTTTTAGCACAATAGGCATTAACTCCCCTATAAATTTTAAACGTCAATAGCACAATGAACAATTTATCCCAATAAATTTAAACGTGAAAATTAGTTTTTGGTTACAACAAACTTTTTAGGAACTGCATTAATTTTGTAACTTCGTTAGTTATAAAATTACATTGTACATAGCTTACCTAAGATGTTCATAAACAAGATCTAATTAACTACTACCTATTGTGTATACACGTATATCACAGCCATTGTTTTAATTCATATGCAGATTTGCATCCAAGTTTTATACTTGTTTTAAATATTTGAATTTTAAAGCAAATAAATTTAATTTAAAATATTTTGTTTACTTTCAGAAATTATTTATTTTTGAAAATTATTTAATTTTTGTCTTTGTCCTAGAACAATATGCAACTTGTTTTATTAACATCTCTAGGTCATGACTAAAATTCCGTTTATTAAACTGGTTACATAATATAATATTATTTTGCATTACTTCTTTAATATAAAAATGTATAAATTAAACTAATATGAAATGAAAAATAAATATCTAACATGGCACAATAAAACAACATTTATAGGCTGTGCACAATAAAGTATACTGTAAGTAGGTAACATTCTAGTAAAGCGTTGGTAATCGCTTGCATAATATACTGCCACCTGGCGACTTTATATTTTAAACTAGTCGCAAACACACATGTTTCCCAAAATAACGATTACATTACATTAATATGCAAGTAAACTTACATATTAAATGGCTTTTCAAAAGTAAACATAAACTAAGAACCTAGTAAAAACTTTGACAACAATAAAGTTAGGTATAGACTAACTGAAAAAAGTAATGTGTAAACTTTTGTTCCTATTGTGACTAAAAACTAGTTATTTAAAAAAACTACCTTTCGTATAAAAAGTTGTGGAATGTATTAAGATCCACTCCATTTGTAATCCATTAGTATTAAATTATGGGTCAACTTAAAAGTTTAAAAACTATTAAAAAAATACTTATCAAAATAATAACAAACAACAATATTAAATTGAATTTAATGATAGATAAAAAAGGAATTTAATTTACCAAATTCGTGACTGAGAGATTATTTATTTTACGTCATACTTGACAGAAGCAGGGGCTAGTAAAACCATAGAATAAACTTATAAAGAAAAACTAAACAAATATTTACATTAATCTGACGACACACACATACACATACGCCTAAAGGCTCTTCTATTTTCTAAGCATTCTCCGACACAATAGAAATCATAATACTCGCTAAAGGAATACATGTCAATATCTAGTAGAAATGCTATGAAAAATCCAATAAAATCTAAATGTAACTAAATGGTTTGATGTCAACGGATAATAATCAATTAACGATTTAATTGTTGGGATAATCACATTATAGTGCCAAACGCATGCATATTGTCAAAGTAAAAACCCAAAAATGTATTTTTTCATAAGAAGTAATTCCTTATGAAACCATTTTGTACATTAGACCTTATTCATTTAAAAACTTAATGTTTTCTTCTATATATCTTTTTAAATAATGAAGGTAGAATTTCTTTAACATTTTTCTGGGATCTTTGGGGTCTGTAGATCATTTTGGGACACCCTGTATACTCAAACCTTCAGAAAGAGGTATTGCTTGTCAACATGCAAGTGTGGCATTTTCTTTATTCATATTTAATTTTCTTTATTCAGGAAATCTTTAAAATGATAACATTCTACATTATTTTTGTTTTTTTTGTTGGAAAGAAGAAAAGAAAAAAAACGTTTAACAAATTAATTTACAGCATTTTTATCACGTACAAAAGATATATGCACGTATACATATGTAACCAAGCATTTTTTAAAAAGTGCAGTGACAAACTGATAAAACCAAATAAATGGAGTGCTTAAAACAACAAAACAAAACAAAAAACCCCTTTTTGGTTGACATAAACCCGTCTAAACGCTCATGTATTTTTCACGATGACGTCTTTTAGAAATGCGATTTTACTGTGCCAAATCGTACTCATGTATATTTTAACATATCAGGTGTACTGTCTGGAGTTCCGCAAATACGGACGTTTATAGGAAATTACAGCTTACAAGTTGAGTTTTAAGTAAAATAAAATAGCAAGAGTTAATATTTATAGACCAAAAGAAATAATATATTTCTTATTTTAGTAATTTCTAGAACTACTAAACACTGCTAAGGAAGACCCCAGTAAAGATGGCTAAACGATATCATAGAAGTAGCAGGAAAATAATGGTTTTAACTAGACCAGAATAGATGTAGAAAAATTTAAAGAAAGAAGTATACCCTGTCATTTTTCATACCTAATTTAAAATTATTTTCCATTAATATAGCATACTTAAAAATATATAAAGGGTGGGCCATGTTTATGTTGAATTATAAAATAGCAATGAGAACAAGAAAAACTGATTTTTTTTCAACGAATTTTTCTTTATTTGATACAATGTTTCTTCCGATTAAGTATGGAAAATGATTTTATTTAAGTGGCCACCTCAGCTGGCTCGGCAGTTGCCCATCCTGGAACACCAATTTTCGAGCACTTTGACAAAAGTTTGCTGCTCTATTTAGGCAATTTGAGCTTGAATGTTTTGTTTTAAATGGTGAATAGGCTTTGTTACGGCGACGTGTGGATTTTCCGTGGCCCAAATCCTACAGTTTTGCTTGTTGACATAACCTCCGAGGTAAAAATGCGCCTTATCCGAAAAGATGATTTTTCTTGCTAAATTAGGGTCATCGTTCAACTGATTTAAAGCCCACTTAGCAAAGCGAAAACGTTGTGGATGGTCAACTTGCTTTAACTCCTGAACAAGCTGGACTTTGTACGCAAACATACCGAAGTCTTTGAGTCTTTGTGCAAAATCATCCTCAGAGTGGTACGGGAAAGGCCGAGTTGTTGACATCTGCGCCGAGTTGATGTTGACGCGTTCATGCGTATATTTTCGGCCACAGCAGCGATTGCTTCAGGTGTACGTCTAGGACGAGCATGCGAAACATGTTTTATGTCCACCAGCATTCCATTTCTGCGCAATTTTTTGATCAAATTTGTAATACTTTGGTTTGACGGCGCCTCATTTCTTCCAAACGCAATTTTCTTGCCGTCTCTGCGATCACAGTCACATTCAAAGTAAGATTTGAGTATTTCGAAACGTTGATCCAAATTTATTCGGTGCATATTTTGTAATCGGAAGGTTAAAACTAAACCACTGTCAACAATTCATGGCGCTTAAGTTGAAAGCTTCATTAATAGCACGTAGTTTAAAATTCAACTTATAGATGGCCCACCCTTTATATAGATGTAATTAAACTTTAAATAAAAAAGTTAGAAATCAAACCAAAACGTTCATTTAACGACATAGTTTTGCGTAAAAATTGAACTAAAATATTCACATAACAATTCTGGTTATAACATGCAAATTTTAGAATGTACATAAAAAGCAAACAAGGGAAAAAAGGAGTAGTGTTAATCGCAAGCTCGTTTTAAGGATTAGACCTTGACCTTGAATCGATTTGAGACCCTCACATTGTATCTTCTTTGGGGATCGTAGGTCATAATGATAATTTAGTGGTCTTACGAGAGTAATAAAGTTTGACACTTTAACAAATCAGTTGGATCAGCAAGTTTTAGTGGTAACATTAAACAAAGAATGTTGGGGGAAACTGAAAACATCAATTATGGTCCAAATTAACAGAAGTTTAATGGGTTATGAAAAAAGTTGATGCTTTGTTTGAAATAAATTCGTGTCGCAGGATAATTGTGTTCTTTGCTTGGAGCGTATAAACAAAGTTTGTAATTTTAAGAGAACTAACCTTTAATATTATCGGGAAGGGTTTTCCGTCCGGGAATAGTTTTTAATCTGTTTCCGTCCAAATGAAGCCATTCCAGGCTGTGAAGTCCCTGGAAAGCTCCCGCCTCCACTTCGAATAAAGAACAATTGCTCAACTCCAAGGTATTTAAATAAGTTAGGTAGTTAAAAGAAAACTTCTGCAGGGCGTGGATGGGGTTGTAGTTAAGTGTGAGCCTCATTAGAGCCGGGCAAAACTTAAAAGCCTCGGTGGGCACGCGCTCGATAAAATTGTTGGATAGGTCGAGCTCCACCAGGTTCGCCAGTCCTTTAAACGCTTCCTCGTGTATCGCCCTGATATTGCAGTTGGACAGAAAAATTCGCTGCAAATTGACCAGCTGCACTTTCAGAAGAAATTCGGCCGGCAGCTCGGGCAAGCGGTTGCCGGAAAACTCGAGCACTTGCATGTCAGCGCTGAAGCCTGACGGAATCGCGTCTAAATTCCTGTTCGAGCATTCGATGGTTTGTTTTCCGTTTTTCCATTTACAGGCGCAACTTTTCCCACAAGCCCATGACGTCCTACAGCCTAGATGTACGCAAAGGAATACCAAAAGGGCCTTGCTAAACATTTTACGACCTTCTGCGTTTCGGGCAATTCACATGTTAATTGTCTGCAGGTAGCTAAAACAAAAGAAATCCATTAAATTCTCCTTTTTTATCGACACTGGATGCTAACGAATCATAAAGCAGCTTTGCACCTCCTAAACTTTATAAGCACGAGCAATTTTATTAGATGTATACGCTATTTTATACTTCCACAACTTTATGACTTTCTTACAAAAACCCATTAAGACTTTCCTTTTAAAAATACAGAAAAATAATACTATGTTTATAAATATACTGAATTGGCATTTTTATATAAATAACAAGAGATGCATTGCAAATATTTGCCTGCAATTTTAATGCCTTAAGGATATTTAGTGTGCTGGATAAAAATAATTCATTGATAATAACTGAAAATATCCGAGAGATTTAAAACTTATCTTACGTATTAAACATTATTACCAATAAATAATAAAATAAAAATCATCATAGATCATTACAGAAGATTCTAACCATAAATCTGGAACTTTTCTTTACGATTTTTAGATTTGCTTAATAAAAGTGTTGCTAACCATATAATATATGCTCTCTTAAGACTTAAAATAGTTATGTTTGATGCTAGATTGCAAAATGCCACTTTTGCATTTGAGAATGAAAGTTTTAGGGAGCGATAGCGTGCAGAAAAAAACCATTCGTTAATGCAAAATAATTTCGCAATCGAGTATCAAACAACATTTCTTTGAAAATTTTGAAACGAATTTAAAAGTATTTTGCGTTTACCACGTTTTAAATTTTCATGTTGTAAAAATTCTTAAACGTTTCTCAAATCCTACATGTCAAAATTTATGTGATAGATGTCAAAAATGACAGGCGACTAGTGTAATAGTATATTTTGTAACAAGTTTGAAATACAGCATATTCCGTTCGAGTGAAGAGTTTGTCACACGAGCCGAAGGCGAGTTTGACGGTTTCACGAGAGCGAAATATGCAATTCCAAACGTGTTTCAGACTATACTTTTTCTACGTTTTCAAAAAATACCATAGAAAAATAATTTAATAGGAAGAAAGTGTGGTTGGATCGGTCTAAAATTTGTTAGATATTAAAAACAAAGATGTCGCCACGACTGTTTATTCTGTCATCAGATGATAGAATATTTCATTCTGGAATACTTTACGGAATATATGTCATTCCATAGATAAAAGTGATATTAGAACGGCCAAATTCCGTAATAGTAGTAGAAAAAAAATATTCCTTAGCAGTTGTCAAAAATGAGCCAAGACAGATCTCAATACGTAACTTTCGTAGATAATAATTATTTAAGTATAAGTAAGTGTTAAAAGTGTTTTTTTGAAGGGTTCCTTACCACCAAATAAAATATAACTATTACAACTTTCATCAAAAATAAGTATTATCTACGAATGTTACGTAAATTGTAAAAAAATTGTAAATGACAGATAACAGATGTCAGCATATTTTGTTTCGTATCATATTTTACATAGATTATTTATTTATTTATTGTTGACACCTGTAACCTATAATTTTTAACATATGTCACCTGAATCATCATTTTGACATGTGTCATCTAAAAAATAACCAGTTTTTGGTTACATGAAAGTTCAAGAATTTTTCTCAGCTCCTAGGCGCTAAAGCAAAGAAGCAAAGATACATTTTTTCTGGAAGTAGTGCTATACCATCATTTCAACATATACAAATTTAAAACATGTGGTTTCCTTAAATAATTTGTACATATTAAGGAGAAATTAAAAAAAAATATTCATGACTCATCTTGAGAAAAATTATTATTATTACAATATTATTTACAATAATTAATTTATTGGTAATATATATATTATTATTATTATTATTATTATTATTTATTGGTAATATATATATTATTTATATATATTGGTAATATATATATTATCTATATATATATTATATATATATATCATATATGATCGTGGAACCTTCAGAATTGAGATTTCTGATTATCCTAGCTCATAAATAATCTACACAAACCTTGAAAAAAATCAAACACGGTGTGCTGAACTTTTTCCATTATTGTATTCCATTTGACGTGGAATGACACAAAAATAGAAATATATAATATAATTTTAAAAATAATAATAATAATAAATTTAAAATAATGAATATAAACTAATACATAAAAGTTATTTTTAGATGGGAATTCATTTTAAAATGGATTTTATCTATAAAATAAATATATGCAGTCGTTTAAATATATATTTATTATAACTCCAATAATGAAATTAATAAATACTAAATTTACATTCATACAAAATATTCTTAAAACATAATCAATAAATAAACTTTACCAAATTAAGTGGTACGTAGAGGGAAAACTTTATTTAATGAGATGAACGTGGGAGAAATTTTTATTTAATCGAGTCATTCACAATCTTAAATCGAAGTTCAATGATGCCTTGAGGAGTATTATTATAAAGTTAGATAGAAATGCCCTTTTAGCACGTACATGTAATTTTTATATAAATTACCTGCAAACTATTCCAAGGTATTATATAGATCTTGATATAGTCGAAATGCTCTTTGGATAGCTTAAAAGAAGATATTTTAGCAAGGAATGCTGGTAACATGGAGCAGGATTACAAGGTTTTCCTTTTTCTTTAAATCCCTCTAAATTTTTATTACATTACATTACATTTATTACATTAAACTGCATTTATTAGATACTACGATACAATTTGAATAGTCCATGCATTTGTACAAAAAATGCGCAGTGTATGTGTAGTTTTACAATTTTTATTTTCTTAGAAGTCACATATCATGTTATAAAAACTTATTTAAGAATGTCAATATCATACTTATAAGAATAATATATACAGGGTATTTCCTAACCTCTTAATAAAATCATGGTGGATATTTTCACCTAAGACACAAATGTAGAGTACAATTTTTTGGGATGTATAGAAAACCTTTTTCTCGATATACGTTTAAAAAACGTGAAATTTTCTGTGTCACTATGCATAGTTACCCTAAATTCTTATAGTTATTACAAGAGTTCTTAAAGCGTGAACAAAGTTATTAAAAAGTTATTAAAGTGCATCTGATGCAGTTGCCGAAGAACTAAACTAATTTTTAATTTATCTTATCAGGCCTTCCACAAAAGTATACTTAGTTAATATTCTGAAGTTTCCAGCACGAAGTTTTTATAGTTTTTATATTTGGATATTTAAGCCGTTAACAAAAACATTTTGAAAGGATTATTTCGGCTTTTCCGCTATAAATCTTACTTTTTGAATATTTATGTGGATTTTTATTTATATTATACGACTTTTTAAGTAACAAATAAAAGCATGAGATAAAACTTACTCCTTTTATCCAATTCACTATAATAAATGAACTATCAAAAGAGTGATTGCGTTTGGTTTCTTTCGCAACGTTTCACATTTATTTTTACTTTATTTCCTGCTTTAAAATTTCACAGACCTGCATTTATTTTACATCTGATTAAACGTTGGTCACCCTGCATACATAGATACACAAAAGGGGTTAAATTTGAAAACAAATAAATTTGTTTTAATGTATTTTTATATAAAATATGCTCTTCATAAAAATATAAATGAAACAAAGGCTTTAATGTTGACAGATATTTTAATTGCAATTGTTAAAATTCAAAGAGAGACTAAATATTTAATCCACCACAAATCAAGCAGTACAAATTTAAATTTAAATTACCATTTTATAAAGTTAGTATTTAATATTGATTCAGTTCAGTTTTAAAATTTAATTTTGTTTTTAATAATTGCATGATGTTTCATTTTTGCTACTAAAAATACACATAGAGGTGGTGCTATATTTAGTATATAATTATATTATATAAGTGCAATACTATACTTTATCTACTCCAATAAGTAGATATTTAAATGATTTTCAAAAATAAATAAATAAAATCTAACATCTGTCAAATGGTTAACCTTAGTTTTTACCAATTTTAAATGTTATTATAGTCGCCTTTTCCCAATATAAAACCCGATTGGTTTAAATAACAGTACCTACCCTAAGTTAAGAATGAATAATGATGGATAAATAGTTTTATAATAATGTAAATTATCATACATTGTTCAACTTGTTTAGAACAATTTTCAAGACAATTTATCGCGCTCTTGTAGAGGTTGGCATGTAAATAATCACACTTATTTGACGCAATTTAGTGGGTCATTAAATAGCAACTAGCACATTAGACTTGTTTGTACAAAACCTTGATACAAACTGTATACTAAATGCTCTCGGAATAACTTTATTTGAATAATTTTATCAATTTGTCTCCCTTGCGTTATACAAACTATACTCGTTATGGAGCCATTTGTTTCAGTCAACAAATTAATGAAAACAAGGGTGTAAAGTTTTATTGCAAAACCATTATACAGGGTGTTACTCAAGTATGTACAATATATTAAACAAACTATTTTTTGGGTAATTTTAAGATAAAAAGTTCAAATACCTCGTTTAACTTTGGAAAACCTTGACGAATATTTTTGACAAAAATGTACTTTTTTGTAATTTTTTTGTTTATATTTTTTTCGGATTAAGAAACTAAAATTACAACTTTTTGGTCTCTTGAATTTTTTTCGTATTTGTTTTCGAGAAAAAAACTAAAATCCACTTAAATGCATATCTTGTGCGGTCCAGGGATATGCAATTAAGAATATTTTATTTTTTTCTCGTAAACATAATTCAAGAGACAAAAATATGTATTTTTAGCTGGTTAATCAAAACAAAAAGTACAAAAAGTTAGTGGCGTACATTTTTTGAGTTAGAGGTTAAATTAGCCCCTTAACATACAAATAACACTGCCAAATTACAACAAAATTGGGTAACTGATATTAAAGATGTTTACGAAAAACAATAAAAAAAAGTTAAACATACTGTATCTTGAAAAAAAAGCATTTGCGAACCCATGTTTTTATGAACTTTTATCTTAAAATCACTCAAAGAATGGTATACACTTAATAAGTAATACCCTATATAATAAACAAATAATAAATAAATAAACGTTTATTTAGCTAAAGCTATTATAGTTTCTTACATAAATAAT